AACTGACCTCGGCGTGGCGGCCTTCACGAATTGAGTGCGGATGGAGTGTTTGGGGATGTCCTACTTTGTTCGGACACAGGGGTGTGAATTGAAATTACGTTGGAGGAGTGGGAGGGGGGCGTGTAGGGCCGACGCGCCGCGCCGCCTGCGCGGCTGAAGCTACTGATGCTGGTGCGACATCAGTGCTGCCAGCCGCGCACCTGCGCCGCAGGAGGAGGTCACTACGAGGTCGCGTTGCGCACCAGCCAGCTCGCGAGCACGTCCTCGCACTCGGCGGTGCAAGCCTCCTCTTGGCGGGAAGCGTTCACCGCGCGCGGCGCATCGAGTCGCGCACAGCCTGGCACTGGGTGCCGTTGAGCACCGCGATGCTATCGGGCGACATCTGGCTGGCCAGCGCCGTGGACATCCTCATGCCCGCCGTGGCTGCGGACGAAGCGGCGCCTGAAGATCCGCTGCCCTCCGCGAACGCGCCCTTCAGCTGGTTCGAGCGCTCCGCGCGGGATTGTGGAGGGATTGGCGCCAGCTCGACCTTCGGCGCCCCCTTGCGCCTTTTGGAGGCGCCCCAGTTGACCTTCTCCTCCTCCCAGGCGCGCCACTCCGCGAGGTCGACTTCCCAAGTGTCGGGGTCGACTGCGAGAGCCGCTGCCCCCGCGTCGCTCTCGCCCAAGCCGTGGTACGGCGACGCGCGAAGGTGGTTCGCAAGCTTGTCCCTGGCCACCTCCTCTGTCTCTCCCTGGAACCACTTGCCCCCCTTTTTGCAGAGGCTGTTCTGTGGGCACTTGAAGCCGAACATGATGCACTTCTCGCCCTGCTGGCCTGCCATGGCAGCGACGCCGCCGAGCCGCGAGCCGCGGCTAGCACAGAAGCCGCTGGGCCGCGAGCCTGTGCGCGCCTAGATTCGGGCCGATACAGCGCCCCAACAACAAAAACATACTTGTGTGAGAGGCGCGGTGGCATCGCACATTTCGGGATGACAGCAGGCGGCGGCGGCGGCGGCGGTTTAGCCGCCGATGGGGGGCTCAGGGCGGCGTGGCCGCCAAGGGGGGCCTCAGGGCGGTTTAGCCGCCAATGGATGGCTCAGGGAAGGACTGGTGTTTTTTTTCCAACCGCAAAGAACAAGCCCGATGCGCCGATGCTCTTATCTGAACGGCGGTTGTCCGCCAGGCGGGGAGAGGCGGCGCGTCCGCCAACGAGATAGATCGGCAACGAAGAGAGGGGAGGAGAGATGAGATGAGACGAGGCGGGGAGAGGCGGCGCGTCAGCTATCCGCGCTCGAATTACGGAAGCTATGCACCTCAGCCCGCCTGCAGGTCCACACGATCACCCTACAAGAAGACATCTGGGCGGTTCGCGGCGGGCGTCGGCATCGGCTTCGCTGGCGGTGGTGCCATCCTGCTTGTCGGCTGCAGCCGACTCCTTGCCCTCGGCTGCGCCATGCGGGTCTTCCCTGCTGGCGGCTGCATGGTCTTCGGCGGCCCCATGCTTGTCTTCGGCGGCGGCGGCCCCATGGCCTTCCGCGGCGGAGGCGGAGCTGGAGGGTTCATCTTGCCAGTGGCCCTCCACGGCGCCTGCTGAGGCTGCGCCTTGGGCAAGTTCGGCGCCTTGGGCTCCCGCGGCGTCAGCTGAGGCCTGGGGACGTGCGCCTCGCGCACCCGCGGCGCTGCCCTGCTGCCGTGTAGCTTCGCAAACATCTCGCGCTTTGCGCCAGCTCGGTTCCCCCAGCGCTTCGCATTGGCGCGCCGCGCCTGGCCCTGCCACGTCTGCGGCCCACCCATGGCTGGGCCAGGCGGGCCGCGGTCGCGGAACTTCTTGTAATCGTACTTCATATGGTACTCCTTGAGCACGGCGGGCACGTTCTCCGACCGCCAGTCGATGGGATCCCCAACGGGGTCGCTCAGCCATGCTCGCAGCTGCGTTCTGAACGCATCCACCGCGTTGGGAGGCGCCTCCACCGCCTCGGGGGGCTCCTCCACCACAGGCGTCGCGTGGCGCATGTGCGTCGCAAGCTCCTGCACGAGAGCTGAGGGCGGGGTGGCGCGGAAAGGCCGCTGCCGCGGGTCCCGCGGCGGCGACGTCGGCCCCCGCCTGCGCGGCGGCGTCGTCGGTGCCCGCGGCGCGCGCGGGCTGCGCGATCGCGCTGGCTGCGCCGCCAACGTGGGCGCGCTGGCTGGCTGACTGCCGCTGGCGGAGGAAGACCGATCCCCTGCGTTGTTGTCCACGCCCGCAAGGTCGGAGAGCAACTGCATCGCTGGCCCGAACATCTCCTGCGCCGAATTGCCAAAACAGTTCGACCGAGAGCGGCCAGCCAGTTTCGCGCGCGATGCGCGCGTCCCTGGCTACCGCACGCGGGGCCACTTGTTTTGGCGATGCAGCTTCCTCCAACGCGTCGAACGCGCTGCCGCTGTCTGCCATGGCCGCGGCCGCAGTGCGAGGCGCCGAGCGCGACGCGGCGGCTGCGG